TCTCCGCTTCCCGCCGCTCCAAGACGGCCGAAGACGGCCCAGGAGGCCTCCAAGAGGGCCCCGAAACAGCCCAAGAGGACCCCAAGACAGCCAAAAAAGCCTCCAGGGCGGCCCCAGAGGCCCCCAAGACGGCTCCAAGAGCGTGCCCAGACGGGGGACCCGAATGGACATTTCGAGCCCTTGGCCCCGGGAGGCACTCATGAGGCCCCAGGAGGTTCCCAAGAGGCCCCAAGAGGCCCACAAGAGGTCCCCAGGAAGCCCGAAGAGGCCCCCCAGAGGCTCCCAAGAGGCCCCCAAGAGGGTCCTAAGAGGCCCCAACAATTCCTCCCCAGAGGCCCCCGAGAACCTTCCGAAGAGGCCCCAAGAAGCATCCCTGAAGACTCTGGCCAACGTCAGCGTCGTCGTCGTCGCCGCCGCCGTTGTCGTCGTCGGCATCGTCCTCGTCGTCTCCTTTCGGGGTCGGCGGCACAGGCCGTAAGGCCTTCGCAATCGCATGTCACCACTCTGCGAATCAAATGGTCGCAAGGCAAACTACACTGGGAACGCCGCACAGGCCGACCTGCAACAAGCAAACACGTGTCGAGTGATCCGCGGCCTCAAAGGGGAGGCGGGCGAGCAGACAAGCACGGGGAAACCCTCCCTATGCCCGTACACGCCGGTCGGAAGAAGTAGGTAAAAAGCATGAAGTAAGAAGGATAAGAGAGCAGATTGGGCTCAGGCCCTCCCAGAGAACGGCAAAACACGCACACACACACACACACACACACACACACACACACACACAAACACACACACACACACACACAGCAAAAGCAGATCGCTTCTTGAGCCAGAGGAGGGCGCTTGAGGCAGGCTGCGACCCTGGGAACCCAGAACATCCCGACGTTCGACGAGCGCCGCGCAGGCCCCCGTCGAGGCGGCCTGCAGCTCGGGCCCCCGCGGCAGCCGCGGCCCCCGCGGCAGCCGCGGCCCCCGCGGCAGCCGCGGCCCGCGCCGCGGCCCGCCCAGGGCGCGGGCCGCGGACCGCGGCCGCCGAGGGCGAGGCACTGCCAGGGCCGAGGGGGCCGCGCGGGGGCGCCCCTCGCGCGCGGGGGGGCGGCGCCCCTCGCGAGGCGGCGCCCTCCCGGCGCCCCGGGGCAGGCTCGGGCCAAGAGGGCGGCGGAAGGAGGGCGGGAGGCAGGAGGCGGGAGGCCGGAGGGGGAAGAGGAGGAGGGGGAAGAGGAGGAGGAGGAGGAGGAGGAGGAGCAGGGAGGAGGGAGGAGGGAGGAGGGAGGAGGGAGGAGGGAGGAGGGAGGAAGGGAGGAGGGAGGACGAAGGAGGACGGAGGAGGAGGAGGAGGAGGAGGAGGAGGAGGAGGAGGAGGAGGACGGAGGACGGAGGAGGAGGAGGAGCAGGAGGAGAAGCAGGAGAACGGAGGCGGAAGGGCCGAGGAAAGGAGGAGGGGGGATGGGGGAGGAAGAGGAAGAGGAGCGGGGGAGACGGAAGATGGGGAGGAAGGGACGAGGGAGGAGGAAGATGCAGGAGGAGGATGAGGGAGGGAAGAGGAGAGAAGTGGCGGGAGGGAGTGGTCGAAGCGCCGCGGACGCCCGCCCCCCAGACCTGCAGGGGCCGGCGGGCACCACCGCGTGCCTGGCTGAAGGCCGCCCGACATGGGGCTGGCGATTCGCACCGCATTGCCGATTCATCGGCGGTGCGGCGCGGTCCTACGTGGAGATCTCTGACGGTCTCGCGAGCTTCCCGAGAGCAGCAAACGTCCAAAGGCACAGATCTTCCTGCTCCCTCCCTCATCCCTCATCCATCCTCCCTCGCCCTGTCTCCTCCCCCCTCGAGAAGCCCTCCGGCCACATCTTGGGCCTAGCATGGCGCCGGTCAAACGCAATGCCACACGCCGAGACCTCGAGGCGCCCCGACAGAAGTCGTTTTCCTGGGCTCGTCCCTCGGGAAGACGACCGCGACGGCAACTCTTGACGTGTCTCAGCCTCCCTGCGCCTCCAGCGGGCCACTCGTCGCAGCGGCTGTATGTCCGTCTGGAGGTCCTGGTTGGAGCGCGCTTCCTGCCACGCCGATTTCTCACACCTGGGGGCGCCGGGAAAGGTTCACGACACGGGCGCTGTGGACGCCGGAAGTTCGTGGTCTGGGGGGGAGAGGGGGGGGGGCCTTGTGGACCCCGGCGGGACACAGGAAAAAGCAGCCCGCGGAGCTGATCGGCTCTAAACTCCACATGCAACCTCACAAACCTCGGAAGGTAAGAGGAGAAGGACGACGACGAGGACGAGGACGAGGACGAAGAGAAGGTGTTGGGGTGGAGGAGGGAGGAGGAGGAGGAGGAGGAGGAGGAGGACGAGGAGGAGGAGACCGACGACGACGAGAATGTCTCGGGGGTTCGGACGAGAGCTCTCGGATCCACGTGGTTAGCAGTCACGGCGCAGGAGGTCTGGGCAGGAGGGCCCCAACTGTCCCCTTACACAAATCCTGGAAAGGCCGATCCTGGACCCCAGATGGGCCTGACCAGGATCGGTGCAGGTAGGTAATTGGCGCCCCCTGGCTACACGCAGGGATACGGCTCGCGGCTTGTGGGCAGCCTGGACCCATCAACATACCCCCTCCCCTGAGTCTGGGGCCCCTCCCCCCGCGAGCGGTCAAAAACCCAAGATGGCTCCAAGATGACCTCGGATAGCCCAAGATGGCTAAAATGGCTCAAGATAGCTTCCAGCATGCCAACCTGAGGCCTCAGGACCACCCCAAGATGCGTCCAAGTGGCCATGAAGCCTCCCAAGAACGCCCCCGAGAGCCAAAGAATCCACAAACATCCAAAGATATCAATCATGCTCGTTTCGGATGGGTTTCTGAGGCCTCAAGATGGCTCCAAAGTGCATCCAAGATGGCCCAATAGAGCCCCAAGAGGGGCAAAAGAGAGCTCCAAGACGAACCCCAAGAGCGCCGAAGAGAACCCGAGAAGCCCACAAGAGGCGAATTTTCGGCATCAGAGGGGCGCGTGGTAAGCGCAAGCCTGGGCCCCAAAAGGCCCCAAGAAGGGATCAAGAAGCCTCAGAATCTTCCTCACAGGTCCCAAGAAGGCCCCACGATGGCCAAAAAAGGCCCAAAGAGAGCCGCAAAGGCACCCAGAGGGCCCAAGAGTGGCGAAGATATTTATGGCTTCGGTGTTATGGCCGCCCCTCTCTTCATTCCACTGCTTGATTCTACACGCCCCTGATCACTGGAATTCGCCTGGGCATCCTTTCTGGATGGGCTGGGCATCCTTTCTGAATGGGCTGGTGGGGATACTTTTTGGTCAACAGGCTCGCGAGGCGGGTTGAAAGCCGTCCGAACACGAGTCGGGCCGCGACTAGGCAGGAGGAAAAGAAAGGCAAGCGAAACGAGCGAGCGGGCAGCCACTCAGAAGGAGAGCCAGAACCGATACTCAGCTGGTGGGGATACTTTTTTTTGGTCGCGCCCGCAAGCGAAGGCGCAGGCGGAGTCAGAAGCGGTCCGGGGTGCGGAAACAGGCCTAATTAGCTACTGGGAGCGCCGCAGGCCGGCCGGGCCCGCTCAACAAGCAGCTGCTGTGCCGCGCGGAGAAGCTGACAGGCTGAGGGCACCCAGGGAAGCTCGGGCAACGTGCAGCCTAGCAAAATGCCAGGAAATTCGGTGTATGCCATGCGGCATGACCCACTCGCTGGTGGGGATACTTTTTTTTTTTAACAGCCGCAGGCGGAAGCGCCAGCGGCGGGAGGTCGCGGGCGGGCTACGGCCGCGGCTAAATTGCCTAGCGCGCGCGGGGGCCGCGGATCAGGCGGCGAGGGCGGCAGCGCCCAGGGCGGCAGCCAACGTGCAATCCAGGGAGATTGAGACAGCCCCAGGACGGGCATGCAGCTGCATCCAACGAGCCTGAGGACAGGCACCGAGGAGACCAAGCGCAGCCAAAATGGCGCGTGAGGCGTTCCCAACGGTCCAGATGCGAACAGAAAGGAACGTTCCCGAGGACAACGATCCAGGGAGTCAGACGGGTACCACAGACTGACTGGGGACATAAGTCCAGCGGGAAATCCTGGCGGTGACACGAAGTCGCGACGCCAGAACGCGCATCCAGGGTGTGGAGCGTGACAGGGGAACCTTCCACAACTGAGATGCGTCAGCCCAGATCCAACGAGTGGAGGGGCGCCGTAGTGCACGATACACGGTCGACAACGTGGCGTGTGCACATCCAAAGTGTCTCAGCGCTACCAAACCGAGTCGGCTGGTGGGGATACGCAAAGCGTCAAGAACATGGACGGGCTACATACACGCAAGGGTGACCTCCTAGGCAAGAGTGACCTCTGGTGCGCGGCGAGCCGATCGCTGTATGCGATGCGACAGCAGCGGCCCGCGTGCTTCGATCCGGAACCCAGCGCGCCCCGAAAGCGGCGCACCAACGGTCACTCCGACAAAGGGCCACTCCTGCGCGTAGCTGGGCGGATACCACTCTGGAGGTGGACCTCCGGCGCCGCCGCGTCGGCGCCGCGCCGCGCCAGCGCGGCCACCACCTCGGCGGGGCTGGCGGCGGCGGCGCGGCGCGCGGCCGCCCAGCTGGGGACGGCCTGTGAGTATCGTTTCACCGATCCCCATCCCCAGCGGCGTGGCCTCGGCCCCACTGGCCGATGTACCCCCCTGGGATGGGGACGCAGGCCGCTCCCTCCGAGCTTCGAGGGGCGCATCCCCCACTGGGGTGGCAATTTGGCGGGGGCCTCGAATTTGGACGCCCGAAATGGGTACGGGAAAAATGGGTACAATGCCTAACAACACACGTTGTCCCAAACCAACAGCGGCCGCTGTTGGGCAGGCGGCCTCCTGTCTCGAACGGACACAGGCCGCGGCAGCGCGGACAGCGAGTCCTCTTCACAATGAACAGGAACTGCTGTCGGGCATTGTACCCATTCGTTCCGTGCCCATTTCGGGCGTCCAGAGGGATGGGGTTGGGGATCGGTTACACGACACCGAGCCTGGCCGCAGCCTCCGCGGCCTCAGCACGAGGCCACGGGCAGCAGCAGCTCCCCCCCGCCGGGCCCCGCGGCGCGGCGGCCGCCCGCTCTCCGCGGCGGCTCGGGGGCCGCCGGCTCCGGCAGGCTCGCGGAGTGCCCGCCGAGCTCGCGGAGGCAGCCGCCGAGCTCCTGGGGGCGGGCCGCGGGGGCAGCACCGAGCACGGGCGAAGGGGCCCTGGGACACACAAAGGAATACACACAAATCAAAGGATCCCCCCAATTTTCCCATATATCTTCTGGGTCTCTGTCTTCCCCCCCCCCAATTTTGCCATATATTCCCATCTTTTCTGGGGGATCGACGATTGTTTGTGTCTGTGTGTTTTTTCCTCCTGCACGGGCTGCTGCGGAGGTCCGCGCGGAGTCCGGCGGGGCGGCGCCCAGAGGTACCGCCAGGGGCGACGGGGAGAGGGGGGGCTCGGCGGCCGCCGGCCCCGAGAGGTCCGCCGGGGCCAGCGAGGCTCCGAGTTCCCCGAGGTCCGGCGGCACGAGAAGGGCACGCGAGGGATCGGGACCAACACCACAACCCTTCCTGCGACATTGCTGACCACGCTGGCGGCCCCGGGCTGGGCGAAAACGCACGGCGTGAAGAAGTGCAGCGCCCAAACCTGAAGCCTTACGAGTCTTGTCGACGGCGAGCGATGGGGGGAAGTGAGAAGGAGAGGGCCTTCTCAGAAGGCGGCGGGACTTCTCAGAAGCCCTCGCGCCTTCTGAGAAGTTGCTTGTGTCTTCGGGGAAGACGCAGGAAACTTCTCAAAGGCTGGGGGACTTCCGAGCCTTCTGAGAAAAGCCCGCCCCTTCTCACTGTCCCCCCTCGCTCGCCGCCGATCTTCTTCCGGCTCCAGGAACGAAAGGGGCGGCCCTCTAAGAAGGGCGGGGGCGTCTGCGAAGCCCTCCCGCCTTCTCGGAAGCCCTCTCTGAGGCCTCCGAGCTCTTCTGACTGAGGAGCCCCATGCACGCCTTCGAAGTCCCTCGGCGGTGGACAAACCTCCCTTTAGTAAACCTCCCCTTAGTGAAAACGGCCTGGGACTGAAACCGACGGACCTGGGCCCGCAAAAATGACGGCCGCGACACCCTCTCGCGAACCGAAAATGGCCAATTCCTCAATCGACGTGCCAGGGTAGGAGGTCTGTCCACCCCCGAGTCCCGCCGCCCTCGCCTCACCCCCAACCCCCCCCCCGTGCGCGCCGACGCTCCTTCCGAAGGTGCTCCCACTCCCGGCGCATCTCCCCGAGCGCACCTGCAGGGGCCAGCCAAAGCAGGCACAAAAATGCCAGGATCCCGCCTACTTTCACATACCCTCTTGACTTTCATCCTCCCCTCCACTTCCCGCATGTTCCTGTCTCGCCATCGCTCGGACGTCCACTTCCTGGGCATGCCTCTCGGCGTCTTGCGCTCCGCTGCCTCGCGGGATGGGCCACGGGGTGTACTCCCCGAGGGCCCTCGCCGAGGAAGGCACGCCCGCGCCCGAGTGGTGCCGAGCATGCCGCGCATCTCCCCGGGGGATCGACGACGACGGTGCGGGCGCGGTCGCAAGACACTGTCGCAGAGGAGTAGGAGGAGGAGGAGGAGGAGGAGGAGGAGGAGGAGGAGGAGGAGGAGGAGGAGGGGGAGGGGGAGGGGGAGGAGGAGGGGGAGGAGGAGGAGGAGGAGGAGGAGGAGGAGGAGGAGGAGGAGGAGGAGGAGGAGGAGGACGACACCCAACCCCGAAAGACCGCGCGCGAGGTGCACCCGAGGGGAACGCCAGGAGCACCCAGGACGCAGCAGGCGTCTTCTTCAAGGCTACGGGAGGCCGCCGCGCAGCGCGAGGGTCGAAGAGAACCCCAGGGACACCCTGGCGAAAAGTGGTTGGCTTCTTGATGCGCGCCTCCACCGTAGTTGTGCCTGTGCGTGTTTATATCTCTATATATATAATTTAAAATGTGTATTTATTTCTATTCACCCCCCCCCAAACAAACAAACAAAAAAAAACGAAACATGGCATAAACATTATTTTTTGATAAAAAAACTCTAAAACCCGCGCGGAAGTCTGGAATCCGCGCTGGAGCCCCCTCCCTGGCGCGCGGAGCGCGCCAGGGGCGGCGCGGGAGGCGCCGCCAGGGAGGCCCCAGCGCCGATCCGAGAAATCCGCGCGGACCTCCGAGTTCGGGGATGGACAGACCTCCCTTTAGTAAAACGTGGTTTAGTAAAAACGACCTCGGGCCTAAACCTGGCGGGCGCAAGCCTGGAAAATGACTGCCGCGGCGCCCTCTCGAGAACCGAAAACGGACAATTCACTAATCGACGTGTCAGGGTAGGAGGTCTGTCCACACCCGACGAGTTTATATGTTTCGACTGGGGGATCAACTACAGAATTGCAATACCCCAAAATTGATTTCCACGTCGACTCTTCAGCAAAAATACGTCAACCCTTCGTAGATCTGCGGAAGAAGTTCTACTTCCGTTCTGGGGCGAATCAAGTATGCTGCCGACCCCCTGCTCGAATGCTTACTCTGGATATCAAAGTAAAGTGGGGGGGTCACATTTGGGGGGGGGGTCTGATTTGAGCTGTCTTGGAGGGTTCGGGGGTGTCTGGGCAAAGGGCCGCCCTTTCATGGATGGGCTGGGGGGGTCTAAGATTTCTCGTCTGGGAGGGTTGTGACCCCCTTCCTTTTATTACGAAATCTGGGGTATGCCACTGCTTGCCCCCCTGCTTTTTTTTTCTCCCTCCGGAGCGCCCTGCCCCCGCAGGCGCGCCGCCTCGCGGGCGGCCTGCCGCTCCGCCAGGACCGCGCCGGCGAGGTCCGCGCGCAGGCGCTCGCACTCGCGCCGCAGCTCGCAGACCAGGGGCGCCTCCTGCCGGGCGCGGGGGGGGGCGGGGGGCGCACTCCTCCTCCTCCTCCTCCTCCTCCTCCTCCTCCTCCTCCTCCTCCTCCTCCTCCTCCTCCTCTCCGACGACCTATCATGACGAACGAACAGCACACACCCATACCCAGAGGGAGGTCGTTGGGAGGAGGACCGGCTATGGGTGCGGGTGCGGGTTGTCCGACCCTGGGGAACGCTCCCGTTCGAACGGGGACCCCCATCCGACAAACACGCACCCATAGCCCTATCCGATCCCCCTATGGGTATGGGTGTGTGCTGTTGGTTCGTCATACCAGACCACCCCAACCAAACCTGAAGATCAGAACTTGACCCGAAGTTCGGGTTGGGGGGGGGGGCACGGGTTCCATGTGTTTGTCTCAGTGTTCCCCGCCCCCCCCCCCCCTGCCCCCACACTGGAAATGACGGCCAATTGAAGCCTTCAGGTTAGGTTGGGGTGGTTTGGTGGGTGGTGATTCTTGGCGTCGGCGGCTAGGCAGAGGGTGACTGCGTGACAGTGCCCGCATGAGTGTCCGCGCGAGGGGACTAACCGGGGCGGGGACAGAGCGCCCAACTATATTACAACAACCACAACAAGACATACGCAATTTGGCTCGTGGGCGGGGAAACTGCGCCAGCCAATGAAGAAGAGGGGCGCATCACGACTGTAAAGCAGCAAAACAAGGCGCAGCGCGACTGTGTGAAGCAGAATACTAAGCGCCCCTCGCCTGTGAGGCAGAGGGTGACTGCGCTGGCGATAACTGGCATGAACAGGGGTACCGTCGGGCCGAATTGTGCCACCGTGCAGGAGGAGGAGGGAGGGGTGACGGAGGCGGGCTGACGTCGCCGCCGCGCCTGGGGCCAGGCCCAGCCTTCGCGTGGGAGCTCGACTGCAGAATTTGGAGGCTTGGAAGTGGACACCACCACCAAGACAGGCGGGTGCATCCACCGGGGGAAGCTGATCCTAGACTTCGGTGTTAGTCGTCATGCTGCGGCCACCTGGGAAGCCCGAATACTGCCACCGTACCAAGATCGGGATAGTCTTCCCTCGGTGGAGGCACACCGACGATATGTTGGTGTCAACCTCTGAGCCTCCGACAGAACTGAGATGTAGCCCAATGTTGATTCTCTGAACGTGGAATTACTGGAGAGAGAGAGATAAAGAGAGAAAGAGAGAGAGAGAGAGAGAGAAAAAAAAAAAAAAAAAAAAAAAAAAAAAAAAAAAAAAAAAAAAAAAAAAAAAAAAAAAAAAAAAAAAAAAAAAAAAAAAAAAAAAAAAAAACGGCAAAGCAACCTAACAGCGATGTGTAGAAGCATATCTGAAAGCATTCCCCTTAAGATTCAGATGAAAATCCAGTTGTAGAATTCTGCTGTTCTCGCAGTCGTAGTCGCATTCGCGATGACAGTCGCAGCGGCAACGGCAGTCGCAGTCACAGCCTCAGCCTCAGCCTCAGCCTGCCTCAGCCTCAGCCTGCCTCAGCCTCAGCCTCAGCCTGCTTCAGCCTCAGCCTCAGTCTGCCTTCAGCCTCGGCCTCAGCCTCAGCCTGCCTCAGCCTCAGCCTGCATCAGCCTCAGCCTCAGCCTCAGCCTGCCTCAGCATCAGCCTGCTTCAGCCTCAGCCTCAGCCTGCCTCAGCCTCAGCCTCAGTCTGCTTCAGCCTCAGCCTCAGTCTGCCTTCAGCCTCGGCCTCAGCCTCAGCCTGCCTCAGCCTCAGCCTGCCTCGGCCGCAGCATCAGCCTGCCTCAGCATTCAAAATGTGGCCCAGGAATGGAGTTCTGGGAACTAGAAGAACACGAAGTGGCCTACAGTTGGCTCCGGGCATTCAAAATCATGCCCAGGAATGGAGTTCTGGGAACTTGAAGAGCACGAAGTGGCCTACAGTTGGCTCCGGGCATCCAAAATGTGGCCCGGGAATGGAGTTCTGGGAAATCGAAGAGCACGAAGTGGCCTACAGTTGGCTCCGGGCATCCAAAATGTGGCCCGGGAATGGAGTTCTGGGAAGTCGAAGAGCACGAAGTGGCCTACAGTTGGCTCCGGGCATCCAAAATGTGGCCCGGGAATGGAGTTCTGGGAGCACCAAGAGCGATTTTGCGAGGATGTCCCAAGCGATTTCGGCTTCGGCGGCAGCCGCGGCGGCAGCCTGTCCGGGTCCCGCCCCGACCCCCCTGTGGAGTCATCTGCTGCTCTCTTTTGAGACCACTAGAAACCTATCAGCAAGAGCTGTTAGGTAAAATATTTTTTATATATAATATATAATATATATATATATATATAATATATATATATATAACCAAAAAAAAAAAACAACAAAAAAAAAAAAAAAAAAAAAAAAAAAAAAAAAAAAAAATCGTGGACACCAGACAATTCTACGTACTTGCTGTAGATTCGGCGGAAATTTTGATTCTGGGGTGAATCGTTTCCGTAGTCGACCTCCTACTCGAATCCTGGGCCCCTGGCGTGGTGCGATACCAGGGGCGCCTAGCCTCGCGCCCTCGCGCTGCCTCGAAGCGCGAGAAGCGCGAACAGCGTCGCGCACTCGCGCCGCCCCCACGGGGAGAAGAGGAGGATGAGGAATCGGAGCCCGACCGCGAAGCGCGAGGAGCGAATGCCCTCGCGCCTCGCGCTTCGCCCTTGTGCATAATTACGCCCTCCGGGCCTGGGCCAGGAGGCTTCGATACTCCAGCCTGCGCCAGGGACGGCCCTGGCCAGGAGCGCGGTGCGTGAGGGTGCCTTCTGCGGACCCTTCTGCTCGCAGATCGGGGGCGCGCCCCGAGAGGAATCAGAAACCGGCACCTACGCGGACGTTCTGGAGTCCGCGTGGATTCCTTCGGTCGGCCCTGACCGCCCCCCCCCCGCCACCCCTGGCGCCGCTGCCGACGCCGCCCCTCCACGCGCTGGGGGTGAATGAGATGTGTCGAGGTGCGGAGGGGGGTTCGTTCAGCGCCGACCCAAGATCGGGCTGGGCGAAAGGGGGGATAGCAAAGGGGGGCTTTGAGAATCAGCTCACGTGGCTGATTTTCCCAGCGCCTCCCGGCGCCGGAGGCGGCCATGTATCGAGGAATGGGCTCCTCGCTGGGGCCGAAACCAGCTGCATGCAGCAGATGTCGTAACCCCCCCCTTGCCCTATCCCCCCCTCTCGTCCGGCCCGACAAGCTGATCCCAAGAGCTTGTGCCGAGGACGCTATTCGTTCCCGAGGTCCTGGGCGCCCGCGGGCCCGCTCCGCGGCGCCCGCGCCACCGCGGCCTGCTCCACGAGCTCCTGCTGCAGCCTCCGGCAGCGGCGCTCCATCTCGGCGAAGACGGTGCTGGCCTGCTCGTGGACGCGCTCGACCTGGCCGCGGAGGCCGCCCCGGGCCGCGCCGCCGTGCGCGGCGGCCACCGCCGCGACCGCGCCCCTCGGCATCGGCTCCGTGCGCGCCGCGGCTGGCGCCGAGGGCACCGCCTCGCCGATCCCGAGGAGCCCGGCGCGCCCCAGCTCGGCGGACACGGTGGCGGCCAGCTCGGCCTTCAGCCGCTCGCACTCGCCCAGGGCGGCCCTGTAGGCCATCTCCTCCCTGGCCGTGGCCTGCGCCAGCCGCCGCTCCAGGCCGGCGTCCAGGGCGTCGCGCCCGAGGAGCTCCATGGCGTGGTTTGTCGCGAGGCACGCCTCCAGGGATGCTGGTGGCAGGCCCCCCGGCGGGCCGTCCGCCAAGCCGCGTTCCAGGGCGCCCTGGTCCACTGCATCGCTGAGCAGTCCTCGCACGGAGGCCTTCAAGGGCGCCGCCTCCACGGCGACAGCCGGCGCCAGCCTCGCCAGCTCCGCTTGCAACGCGCCGCTGCGGTGCGACCCCACCAGCAGCTGCCGCACTCGCGCGCGCGGCGTCGCCAGGGGAAGCTCCGCCTCGGCAGCCCGCGGCGCGACGGCAGCGCCCTCATCCGCCAAGCCGCGTTCCAGGGCGCCCTGGTCCACTGCATCGCTGAGCAGTCCTCGCACGGAGGCCTTCAAGAAACGAGTTTCGGGCTTGACCTCCAAGGCGCTTTCCAGCACGCCCTTGTCAACCGCATCGCTGAGCACGCATCGCACTGAAGCCTTCACTGAACGAACGCTGGACTTGACTTCGTCCACCTGCAGCGTGGTGGCAGCGCCTCCCTCCTCCAGGGCGCTTTCCGGCACGCCGCCATCCGCAGCGCCGCTGAGCCAGGAGGCAGGAGGAGGATGCCGCACAGAGGCCACCCGTGAGCGAGCGCCGGGTGTGACCTCATCATCCCGGAGCGTCGCGGCGGCGGCGTATTCCTTCGCACGAGTGGAACAAGCACTGGTGGAAACGGGCCCTGGGCCCTGGGGCTTCAAGCAGGACAACTCGTCATGCCAAGCTGCTCTTCGACGGCTATGGCGTCCGGGGAGCGCACCAGAAGCCCAGAAACGGCGAAAGCCCCCCGGGGCCGCAATTCCTCCTGGACCCTTCTGGTTCCGTATGGCGACCCTCGACCAAGGATCTGTCCAGGGGTGCGTGCTGGCCAGAGATTCGAGGCGGACTCAGCCTTGGCGACGAGGAGCCCCCTGGAGGAGCAAGCCGAACAAAAACAAAACTGCCAGGAGTTCGGTTCTTCAGGACCCCTTCCCTCCAGGGCCCCCGTCCTCCGTGGCGGCGTCCACCGAGGCGCCCTCAAAGTCGCCCCTGCCCACCTCGCCGACGAGCGAGCCTCGCGCGGAGGCCTTCCTTGCGCCAGCGTCGGGTGTGGCCTGCGGCGCGGCATCGGCGCACGACCGCGCCGCGCCTCTGGCCAGCGAGCCCGCAAGCAGGCGCCCGACGTAGGTCGCCGTGGCTCCGGCCACGACCTCCAGGAGAGGAGAGGAGAGAACTTCTGGCCAGGCCGATCCAGGACCCAGGATCGGCGGCGGGCGAGGGAGGGAAGCGAGAAGGAGAAGGCCCTCCCAGAGGGCGGCGGGACTTCTCAGAAGCCTTCGCCTTCTGAGAAGTTCTCCATGTCTTCGAGGGAAGCTCACAAAACTTCTCAGAAGGCCGGGGGACTTCCGAGACGACTGACAAGGCCCGCCCCTTCTCGCTTCCCCGCTAAGCTCGCCGCCGACAGGATGAGCAAGGCCGACATCGGTGAGGCTACCACCTCCAGGGCACGGAGTCGCATCTCCGAGGTCCGCGCGGAGGACTCGGATCGGCGCTGGAACCCCCCCACCCCCTATCGGCGCCTCCAGTGCCGCGTCTGGTGCGTCGGGGGCGTCCAAGACGGGGGCGTCCAACAAGGGGGGGGCGCAAATCATGGCCGGCGGCACGTGCGCGGCCCAGGGGGTGGTCGGACACGCATTGAAATAGGAAGAGGCGCCATGACATCTGGGGAGATGCCATGGCCCCCGCCAAGTCATCACCCCCCTCTTTGCCGCCCCCGAGTACGCTTGGTGCGCCCGGGGGCGGCGGGGCCAGCCCCGACCCAGGACATCCGTGCGGGCCTCGGGAGAGTCCGTGTTCACGCCGCCTTTTCGTTCTTCGAGCCTCGAGAGGCGGCCCCCCCGCGGGCCCCGGCCGCGCGGAGCCTCTGGGCTCCTCCCGCTCCTCCTCCTCGGAACTGTCTGCGATCATCCTCCAGGCAGAAGGCGAAGCCATCCCTGCCATCTCGGCCTCGAGGTCCTGAGAGCTGTCAGCATCTGCAGACATCCTCCAAGCAGAAGCCGAAGTAATCTCCGTCAGCTCGGTCGGCCACCTCTGCTTCCCAGAGCTGTCAGCAGACATCCTATGAGCAGAGGACGCGGTCAGAGTCATCTGTGTCATCTCGGTCGCGAGATTATTCTCGGAGTTGTCCGCAGACGCCCCAGACACCCTCCTCCCTGCAGAAGGCGACGCCATCTCTGTCAGCTCCTGGGGAGACAAAAATGATCCGCCAGCGTGTCACAGACACTGAGCGGAACGCCCCACGTCTCCTTCGAGTCGCCGGTATGGTACAGTTAAGAAACTCTCGTGGAGCCCACATGCCGCAACTCACGCAGCTTCCTGCGTTACCATGGGAGCGCCCGGCATGACTCCCAGGGCGCCCCGCGTCATTCCCCGCGACGCCCCGCCTGGCTTTTCCAAAGGCCAAAGCCGGAGAACACCAGAATGGCCCAAGTGGTCTCAAGAGGGCCCCAAGACAGTCCAAGAAGGAGCCCAAACGGCCCAAAAGCGAAACGAGCCGGCCCGAGACGGCCTCAAGACGGCCCAAGAGGCCCCCGAGGCGCCCCACCCAAAAGGACCCCATGATTTCTCGTATCTACCACGAAATACCAGTGACTAACCACTCGCAGATCAGCTCAATCCTGTCCTTTGTGGAGCTACGCCGTGCCTACCGCCGTAGAGTACGTTTGACTGGCGAAACTGCGCGTCTGCCGATACGGGCCGAATGTCTCCGGAAGGGAGGAAACAGAAAAAAAATGACATCACGAATCACAAGAACATCTGGATGGTTCCACGCGGAATTGAGGGAAGGGTTGGGGGAAGGGAAGCGAGCAGGGAGGCAAGGGGTTCAAGAAGCCCAAATGGGGTGTTTCCCATACGTTTCTGAAGAAGTACGCACTCTCGCCGTCTCGGGCTTCCGAAACTCCGAGACGGTCCAAAAGGCCCCCAAGATCGCCCCCAAGACGGATCAGTAGGCCCCGACGAGGGCATCAAGACGGCACGCGAGGCCTCCGAAGACGACCCAAGAAGAGGAAAGCGAAGGGTCCTTGGGCGTGGCCCCTCTTGGTCTGCCCCCAAAATATCCGCCGCCCTTTTTGACTTGCCACAGGGGTGCACGGCGTGCTGAACGTTGGTTGTTGTTGTTGTTGTTTCTTATTCTCAGCTAGATTTCGACCCAACCCGCCTGCCATCTGGAGAGGAACGTAAACTGCGCCCTCCATTGGCCCAAGCGCCTCCACGATGGCCAAGATGGCCCAAGATGACCTCCAAGATGGCTCCAAGACGCACCTCTTGCGGATGACGGCGACAGGCTTCACGAGACCTTGACGCCCTCGGCTGGAGGCCGAAAAGGAAATCAAGGGCGAGTAAGGAACTGGCCAAGAATCGCCCATGGCGAAGCCAGGCCGGAGTCAAACAACACGGGAGACCCCAGGACACTTAAAAATATAAAAAACAACTCAACTCCAGCACACTTAAAAATATCAAAAAACAATCTGTCGAGGAGGAGGGGGCGCGGGGCGAAGCCGGCGCTGGGGCCGCTCTGGCCAGCTCTGAAGCGCGCCATACGCATCGAACACCACCGCACAACCGCCCGGGGGCGGGGCGGAAAGGGGTCGTCGAAGTCGCCATCGCCGACGGAATCGGGCCCCCCATTGCCCGCCTCGGCCGCGACGCCCGCGTGAGCTGGGTCAGGGGGGGGGCTTGGGGGAGGAGGCGCAGGCCGTCGCATAGGGGGTGACGAGCCGCCCGGGCCAACCGCCGCCGGCCGCCAAGTCGCAGGCCCTCTTGGGTCGGCGCCGCGCAGGCGCCCCGGGGCAAAGCCTCCAGGATGCGAATACCGAGGCTGCAGAACATCACCTGCTGCCGAGACTGGACCTCAACGGCGGGGCCGGCGATCGCAGTGATCCAGCCACTCTTGGACGTGACCCTGGGCTGGGCAGCCCACCATGCATCGGTGATACCATGCTCCAAGCCACGGGGGCGCGCTCGGGAGCGAAGCGGGGGCATCCAGCCCAGAAGGGCTGGGTCGAGGCCGCGACGCGCCCTCGGAAAGGACAACGGGCCCGACCGCGAGCCCGGCGCAACGGCGAGCCGGAGGCTCCACCGCGCCAGACCGACAGAAGGCTACGCTGTCCACGGGAGCCAGGGCGAAGCCTCAACGTCGACGTGGCTCACCCCCTCCTCGTCGTTCCGCTGCGCCTGCGGACGCACCTGAATCAGCCAGGCGCGCGCGCGCACCTGGAGGGCGCGTTGCCACCGGGAATAAGGAGGCAACAAAGCAGGGCGGGAGGGCAGAGGAGGCCACGACCTCGGCCACGGCGGCCACGGCCCGCGGGTCGCGCGCAGGCCCGTCGCGAACCCAAACAGGCAGAAGCCCAGGCGAACCCAGGCGGGGGACCAGCCCGAAACTGGCCGCGCGATGGGCCACGCACGACCGCCAAAGAGCCGACCGAGCGGCCAGGCGAAGGGCCTGGAGAGAGGTGCCGAGGATGGGGTGGAGCTCAAGTCGCTCGGCCCACCAGCGCCGCTGGCCCCACCAGGCGCACCGGGCGCGAGCGACGCACCAGAAAGCGAGCTCGACCAAGGAACGCGGGGGGCAGTCCACGAAGGGGAGGGCCCCTGCATGTCGAAGCCACGGACATGACAGCTGTCAGGGCGCGGATGCTCGAAGTGCCGGGGGCGCGCAGCAGCTCGCGAGCGGGATCTTCGATGACCCCCCAGCCATCATGAGGGCCCGGGACTGGAGGGAAGTCCCCCTGAAGCCCGAGCTGGTCGCCAGGGTTGGCCGCCACAGCCAAAGCCCAGGAGCGGGCCTGCTCGAAGGCGCTCTTCAAGCTCCGATCGTCGATGCAGGACCGAGACTGGAAGCAGGACGGGCCCAAGGACCCGGCCCGAGCAGGGGCGCTCGGCGCCCAGGCGACGCAGCAGACGCGGGGGGCAGACCACATGTGCCAGCGCCACCAGACAATCGGCGGAGGCGCGCCCAGGTGGAGTAAACCCTCGACAGCAACCGAATGCGACACCGAATCGTGCGCCTCGGTGAGATCGATCTCAGCCACGGCACGACCTGGGGCAGCCGCCCAGTCCGTCACGGACGCGACGGCGCCCCGCGCCCCGAAGACCTCGGGAGGCGGCGGGGGCAGTTCGGGAAGGAAGGCCGAGTGCAAGGTCCGCAGCCAGACCGGCGCCACGGCCACCAGCCGCGACTCGTCGGAGCCGCGCTTAGGGATGCCAGCGACCTTAACCGACGCGACCAAAAATGGCCTCCAAGATGATTACAAGACGCCTCCAAGCCGGCCAAGATGACCAAGACGGCCCAAGATGTCCTCTAGAAGTCCCAGGAGGCGCCTAGGCCGCCCAAAGTGGGCTCCAAAAGGACTTCAGGAGGCCAAAACCATTGCTCGGGGTCCCGACACTCTAAGAGGGGCCCCGGGGCTCCTAAGATAACCCCGAGAAGGCCCAGGGGGCCCCCAAGAGGCCCGCAAAACGACCCAAGTCCCGAAGACAGCCCAAAAGGTCCCCGAGACGCCCCAAGACGCGACCGCGTGTTTGTGTGGCCCGTCGGTTGCATGTGCGGCCCGGCGCGCGTTCGCGTGGCACGGCGCGCGGCCGCGCGTGTGTTAGTGTGGCCCGTGGTGGCTTCTTCATGAGAAGTGATATGTGAAGACTGCCTTTGTTAGCTTTAATCCAGTGGGCAACTCTTACAGACATGGACACCCGCGCAGATAGAAGCGACCACGCAAACACCCACCTTGATGCGCGTTGAAAACAATGTGGTAGTAGTCCAAGTAATAGTAGTAGAAGCAGAAGTAGTAGTAGTAATGATAGGAGCAAGACTGACTTCATTGGTGGCGGCGGTGGCAGCGGCAGCAGTGGTGGTGACAGGAGCAACATCTGAAGTCTGAGATGTAGTAATAGCAATAAAATCAGTCGTGGAAAACATGCAGTGGTAGAATTAGTATTAGTAGTAGTAGTCGTCGTCGTAAAAGTAGTAGTAGTAGTAATAGTAGTAGTAGTAGTAGTAGTACTAGTACTAATACTAGTACTAGTACTAGTACTAGTAGTAGTAGTAGTAGTAGTAGTAGTAGTAGTAGTAGTAGTAGTAGTAGTAGTAGTAGTAGTAGTAGTAGTAGTAGTAGTAGTAGTAGTAGTAGTAGTAGTAGTAGTAGTAGTAGTAGTAGTAGTAGTAGTAGTAGTAGTAGTAGTAGTAGTAGTAGTAGTAGTAGTAGTAGTAGTAGTAGTAGTAGTAGTAGTAGTAGTAGTAGTAGTCGTAGTAGTAGTAGTAGTAGTAGTAGTAGTAGTAGTTGTAGTAGTAGTAGTAGTAGTAGTAGTAGTAGTAGTAGTAGTAGTAGTAGTAGTAGTAGTAGTAGTAGTAGTAGTAGTAGTAGTAGTAGTAGTGGTAGTAGTGGTAGTAGTGGTATAGTAGTAGTAGTAGTAGTAGTAGTAGTAGTAGTAGTAGTAGTAGTGGTAGTAGTAGTAGTAGTTAGTAGTAGTAGTACTAGTAGTAGCGTAAGTAGTAGTAGTAGTAGTAGTAGTAGTAGTAGTAGTAGTAGTAGTAGTAGTAGTAGTAGTAGTAGTGGTAGTAGTAGTAGTAGTAGTAGTAGTAGTAGTAGTAGTAGTAGTAGTAGTAGTAGTAGTAGTAGTAGTAGTAGTAGTAGTAGTTAGTAGTAGTAGTAGTAGTAGTAGTAATAGTAGTAGTAATAGGTAGAAGTAGTAGAAGTAGTAGTAGTACTACTACTACTACTACTACTACTACTACTACTACTACTACTACTACTACTACTACTACTACTACTACTACTACTACTACTACTACTAGTGGCCTGGACCAGCTGACCTTGGTACCCCAAGCCACGGAACTGCGCGGGCGGGCCGTCAAGGGGCCCGCGTCGGGGGCCCGCAGCGACCCAGGGGGTGCGTCCAGCGCCGCGGGCGTCAGCGAGACGCATCCAGCGTTGCGAGGATGGTCGGCAGCGAGCCCGGCGGGCACCGAGGCGGGCAGCAACGCCCCGAGCGCGGCCACCACGGGCGCGACGGGGCGGGCTTCCCAGCGAAACCGCCGTCGGAGCAACCAGACGTCGCACGGCCAGCCACCGACGAAGTCGGAGGTGGACCCCGACGCTCTCGAGAGCGCGGAGGCGCTCGCTCGGGAGGACTACGAGGCCCAGGGCTGGGATTTCTGCATGGGGGCCTACTGGGTGCCCCCG